AGATCCATTTCTAGCTCGTTTGCTTTCATCAGTAGGCCACACCTACTGGCTAGAGGAAAAACACACATAAACCCTACGAAGAAGTAAGAAAATAGATACTATACCTTTACAGGGGGGATACATAAGATGTGGGTGTGGGTGTGGCCTACTGATGAAAGCAAACGAGCTAGAAATGGATCTATATAGGTCTCCCACCTAGCAGGAAGAGCTTGCTAGCTGTTAGAAAAGAAAAAAGCCCAGAATCGAGTGGATGTGATTCTACTGAGCTAGGGCTGCAGAAAAACCTTGGTTACGTAGGGAAAACCTGGCTAGAGGAAAAACATATATATATAACATATATATAACAATATAAATCAACTTTCCTAGCCTGGCATCCTCCAAGTAGGTGGATTTTGTGAGGAAAAACTTACATAAACAGAAGGATTATGGATGAGTTTGGGAAATCGCTGATGTGACTGGGCATGTTTTCAGATTGAAGGGATTATATGTAAACTTGTATGATGCGAATAGAGGGGAAACTGGATAAATCAACAACTGATATTATTAAACCACAAAAATGAAAAGCAGTTTAGGAAGCATAATAAACTGAGTTATGTGCCTGAAAATCCTAAACCGAGATACAATCTTCTATTGCAATATTTTTATAGCTACTGCAGATACTCTTATCAAGGACAGGACATTCAAAAGTTGATAAGGGAAAACACCAGTTAATCCAAATGAAATATTTGGATTTGAGAGTTCGATATGGAATAAAACTGACACTGATAAAGTATCAGTTAAATGAGCCTTATAGCTATAATTACAGATAACCCTTCATTTACGATTGTTTGCTTAGAAACTGTTCAAAGTTAGGATGGTGCTGAAAAAAGTGATTAATTACCAATCCTCACACTTATAAATAGTGCAGTGTCCCTGCAGTCATGTGATCATGATTTGGGTACTTGGTGATCTGAACCTATTTATGATAGGTGCAGCATTCTGGGATCATGTGATCAGCCATTTTCATTCAAGAAAACCATTTGCTTGGCTCTGTATAGCATACAGTAACTTGACAATTGCTTACATCAAAAAATGCAAACACTGTTTTGTCTTATGTCTGCTTGTTTTAGGTAACAAAAGATAAAATGCTCTTTTTATTACAGCATGATTTCACATGAGCATATATCAGAAAGTGCTATTCAGTTGATTTGAATGAAATCTGTTCTTATGGCCAAACCATCATTCTTTATCTGTGGCAAGAGTTTAATATGCACTGGTGTTTGAAGAATCATTTCCTGTATAAGAATGTAATGTTGATATCCCTAAGTCTATCATCTGGTTAATTGGGTTGGCAGGTTGTACTTTATAAACAAATTTATGAGGCACATTTTAATTTTTATACTTACCATTCATCACCATAATCAGAAACAGAAATTAAATACTACCTTAAAGTTTGCTTATTTGATTTTTTTTAAAAATGTGTACAATGAAACTTAATTCCTCTTTCAGGAGATTTACTAGGAAATAAACAACTGTACTAAAAAAAAAAGCCCTATTTTTGTTTAAAAATTACCCAGTTTCAATGTCTATTAAATAGTTTGGTATATGACAAATATTTTTTCTTCGCTTGCTAGTAACTGAAAAACCTAGAGTAATAAATAATATAATAATGAATAATGAATCATATAATAATGGAAAAACTAGGAATAGATATGTAAATAATTTCACTTGGAATTCAAATACACACACACACACTATATATATATATATACTACCTCTAAATTCACCCTAAAAAGTTTTTACATTTCTAGTTCTTACTCTTTCCACTCTTTTTACAATTCTCAATAAACTTTTTTTTAAAAAAACCATCAACTTGTTCAATATAAGAATTGGGACAATAAAATGCTTTTATTAAACATCATACTTAATTTCTACTTAAAAACCTGATATGGCTAACTATATTTTGTTAAAGGATCCAACAAGATGCAACTGTGCAAATGAGTTATATTCAGTCTTTTCATAGCTTTTTAAAAATCTCATTTATTAAAACCACTAACAGCATTGGGGAAAAAAAGTATACATCTATATAGGAGGAAATGGGGATTTTGCAGTAACCTTCCCCTGGAGTGGGGAGGGAATGGAGATTTTACAGTATCTTCCCCTGCCTCGCCCACCAAGCCACGCCCACCAAGTCAAGCCAAGCCAAGCCAAGCCAAGCCAAGCCAAGCCAAGCCAAGCCAAGCCAAGCCAAGCCAAGCCAAGCCAAGCCAAGCCACCAAGCCACACCCACAGAGACGGTAGTAAAAAAATTTGAATCCCACCGCTGATATATACAGTGTAATTATATCTATCTATCTATCTATCTATCTATCTATCTATCTATCTATCTATCTATCATCTATCTATCCATCCATCCATCCATCCATCCACCCATCCACCCATCCACAACACTTTTCTCTGTACCACTTCTCTTTAAAAGTATGGCTCTCGTTGAAAACAAACATTTTTGAGGAATGCTACAATAAAGGATAAATATAATCATATTTCATTACCACTATTTATTTATGTGTTTTCTAAATCTATCTGTCAAAGTGTCTCAAAGTGTACAAAAAGGATTAAAATACATTATAATAACAAGGATTATTAACTAAGATGATTGTTATTAGGTACATTTCCTTAATAGATTGCCTTCCTCCAAAAAAGATTTATTTTGGACAGAAATTTTCAATTTAAAGTGCTTTGAAAAAGTGCTTTGATGATAAAGAAACCTTATTTTGCAGTAAAAAGCCACTATGCAACGCTACTCTTCTTTGTAGCCCTAAATCAGGATATTTACCTTGTTCTGACTCAGATGTTAAAAGGAGTTTTATTTTATTTGTTTAGAAAATTTATTTGCCACCTATCTGGTACCCAATGACTCTGCGTGGCTTACAGCATAAAACATTATAGAAGACATTAAAATCATGGCACACAGCAGATATAATCATTCACAATTGTAAACCATTAAAACCAGATTGGAAAGGCGGGAGCCTGATATACAGGGGATGGGGAGGTGGGATTAGGTTTTAATTGATCAATCACTCCAGTATGAAACTCTCCTAGATGGGTGTCTAAGCCATCTGGCAGAGCCAGGTTTTAAGGCTCTTTTGAAATGACAGGTGGAGCCCACCAGCTGAAATTCCTTGGCTGATGGGATCCGCAGTATGTTCCCTCTGCCGGAGCAGGAGATACGGAACAGTCCCATTGGAGTGAGATTGTTCCTCAAGTGGTCTGGATCCATGCCATGCAGGGCTTTAAAAGTGATGACCAAAACCTTGAATTGCACCTGGAAGCAGACTGGCAACAAATAAAGCTTGCAAAGCAGAGGTGTAACATGGCTCATTCTAGGAGTGCTAAAAACTGCCCATGCTCTATCATTCTGCATCAGCTGTAGCTTCCAAATGCTCTTCAAGGATATTCTCATGTAGAGCGCATTGCAATAGTCCAAACATGAGATGACTAGAGTAACTGAGCGCAGGAACTGCTGATCTAGGAAAGGCAGCAATTGCTGCATAAACTGAAAATGTGCAAAGGTTTTCCTAACCATGACTGCTCTTTGAGCAGGAGTCATGAGCCCAGGAGAACCCCCAAGTTGCGGACTGGGTCTGTCTGGGATAATGCAACCCTATCTACCCTAACATCTAAAGATGTTGAAGTCCTAGATCTTGGAGCTCCATGCACCAAAGCCATTTGGTCTTGCCAGGTTCCATTGAAATTGTTGTCCCCCATTCAGCCCCCAACAGTCTCCAGGTACCATCAGAAGGCAGCCCCAGCATCACATGCATCACCAGGGGTGGAGAGATAGAGCTGATAGATATAGCTGAGTACCTCAACCCATGGTGACAGATGATCTTACCCAACAGCTTCATGTAGATATTAAAGAGGAGTAGAGAGAGTATTGAGTCCTGTAACACACCGCAAGATAGAGGCTGAGGGCAGGACCTCTCATTCCCTATTAACATTGATTGGGTGCTGATCTTGGGTAAAGGAGCTGAACCAGTGCAGAACTGTGCCACCCATCCCCAGCCCCCGTACCTTGCCCAAAATATACCATGGTCAATGCAGCCTTTGGGCTGCTGAGAGATCAAGGAGAACAAGAATGGTTGTACTATTCCTATCCCACTCTTGCCAGAGGTCATCAACAAGTGCGACCAATGCTGTTTCTGTCCCATAACCATGCCTGAATCCTGACTGAAGAATCCAGATGTTTCATCCAAGACCTTCTGAAGCTGCCAGACCACCACATTTTCCACAACCTTCCCTAAAAATGGAAGATTGGAAACTGGATGGAAGTTGTCCAAGCAATGAAGCGATGGTGTGTTTAAGCAGGAGACAAACCAGGGCCTCCTTAAAAGGTTCCAGAAATATATCACCTAAAGTGATATATTCAAAACTATTTGAATCCACCGGCTAGTCACCATCCTGGAGGCTTTTACCTCCCAGGAAGGACAAGGATCTAACTGGCAGGAGGTAGCACTGATAGCATCAAGGACCCTCTCCATCAGGGCCAACAGGATCAAACTGTTCTCAAATCATTGGGCAAGAGCCCTCCCCAGGTATCTCACAAAGACCTGCCTCATGTATAGGTTCAAACTGAGAATGAATCCAAGCAACAAATTTCTCCACAGGGCTCTGAAGATGATTGCACAAATCCCCTGATCCCAGGAGGAATTGTGACCCAGGTTTCTGGACATGTACTGTTCATGCATAGAGCAAATTCTATTACATAACAGCAGCTAGCTGAATCCAAACAGATCCCTTCAATGCATATTGCCTTGATAGGAGTTGAAGTGCTGTCTCAAATTTGGATTACTGTGATGGTTCAAACTGAAATGACATGTGAGATAGAACAGCGCAGCTTTGTGTTGCCCTAATTTATATCCCAGATTTCTTTTTCTTTTTTATTTTATGATTGGGGCTTTTTGTATGTTATTTTATCACTTATTTTTGTTTCTACTGTAATTTTCTAAAAAAAGTCTTACCTTCTATTGCTGATAGAAGAACTCGAGAATGATCATAAGCAATGACGTTTGCATATCTGTTCTTTGGTTTATTCACTTCCAGGTTAGAATGTTCCCATGTAAATTGCTGACCTGGGTCAATTGACTGGAAACAAAGAAATGGGGAAAAAGGACATGTTATTAACGTATTTTTTAAATAATGTTTCATAACAGATTTCCTTGTATTATATAGATTAAAACAGCATATGTATCTAATTCCATGATAATTTGTCATACTGATACTTACTGACATTCACATTTAGTCACTAGTCTTGCACAGACTTCAACTGATTTCAGAAGAAACAAGACAAACAGCATAAGAGATGCTTGATTTATTTTAAAAATTTGGAGCTATGTGTGTGTTATAAAGGAGAAATGAGAAAAATAAGATATGCAGAGAACAGATGTTTAGGCCACCGGAAATGCTGCTATAGAAGAGATGCTGTTTGGGAAGGTTTTGTCAATGCTGAAGTCATTCCATTCAAAACAGTAGATTCCAGTTTAAGAAAAGTAATGCTTATGTAAAACAGCTAGCATAAGAGACCTCTGGAACCCATTTGCTCAGGCAAGTAAATCTGGATGATATGTTTCCCACTGGGTTAATATAAGAACATTAAAAAGAACCTTGATATGTATAAAAAAATGCACTGTGTTAATCTAATCTAATCTGATCTGATCTGATCTGATCTGATCTAATCTAATCCAACCCAACCCAACCCAACCCAACCCAACCTACTGCTGCATTGGTTCACTTTGTCTCCATCTAATATATAATCCAGTGCCTCCACCCCACCTTTTGGGTGCCCGGGACTGGTTCCGGGGGAGAAGGGGATTTCCATGTGTTTCCTGGATCTCACGCGTACACAGATAGGGCTTCACTCATTTGTGAAGCCCATTTCTTGGTGGTCCATGGACTGATGCCAGTCCACGGCCCAGTTATGGGGACTCCTGCATAGTATAATTATCTCTGAGTCCAATAAAATTCATAACATTCCATTTATTCTTTATTTTAATGCTTGGGAACATTCTATCACAATGCAAGATCTATAAGAATTTCATCATAATAAAGGATGGTTCTCATCTCTCTTCTTCCCTTCCCTGTAAAAAAAAGATTTCTCATTCAAAATAAAAAAACTACTATTTTTCTGGGGAAGGGTTTCAGTGATTTATCTCTACCCTTCCTACTTAATAGATTTTCAATCTAATGGAACAAAAGAGGTAATAGTAATTTGCATGCTGTTTTTAGTAAACAGAGAATATTTATGAAAATCCTAAATACACTTACTGGAAGATAATTGTCAATTAATTCAAGTAAACAAGAATTACAATGTTAATCATCCAAAAGGAAAATCAAAGATATTTGCTTATTATAGACAATAAAAGCTAAAACAGTAAGTTGCTGATTATATTTGATTAGATTACATCAATATAGTCAGACGACGATAATTTTTGTGAACACATGGACAAAAATATGCCTGCTAAGGAACAGAAGTGTTATATAGGCTTCATAATTAATCTTATCCATGCCCAGGAAAAATCTGATATTAGAGGGTGATATCTGAGGGATTGGTACAAACAATAACAGAAGAACTTCAGTACAGACTAAATCAGTGCTATGGCCATGTTCTTGACATGACCACATACATGGGACCAGTATTACAAACAAATGTCTTAAAATATTGCTGTTTTAATTTAGTGAGAAGAAAGAGCTAAAATACCTGTAGTTCTTATTCTCTTAAATTTTACTACCTAACAATAAAAACTTACTTTTCCTATATAACAAAAGATTTTAATGTTGAAATTGGAGAATACTGAAGCCCATTTTCTTGGACTGGTCTTTCATCCAACACTTCCTCATTTTGACTAACACAGTTATTGTAAATAAAAACTCACCTTTCTAGTCTGAGATATACTATACACTTTTTCTCTGCCTTTAGTATTATAATGAATTTACCTCCCTATTATAATGGAGATAGACTGCATTTAAAATCTAATAGCATTATATCACTGATTAAGGATAAAATCCAGCATTTTCCTAATTCCAATAAAATATATTGGCACAGTATCTTTGAAAGAAACCTTAATATTGATGTCATTAAATCACTCCTGTTTTCATTTATATTATTTAAAGCTCTTCAGGGAACATAAATAAGTTTTATAGGAGTTAAGAAAAATCCAAAAGCGTACAAGGAGATAGCCTCAATAATGCCAAGAATAAGGAAACACTTGCTCATATACATATATACATATACACAATATAGAACTAATGAACTTATAAAACACATTGCATTAGCATTTTAAACCTTAGTTACAACTAGATATCCCTCATAATAGTAGAAGCAAGTATTTATTTAAACTTGGCTTAACTTTAAGGATGAAAAATAGTAGCACTATGCCCTCTGCTATCTGTTTCTAGTTTTTTTAGAATACAGAATATTCTTTATTGACCAAATGTGAATGGACACACAAGGAATTTGTGTCTGGTGCATAAGCCCTCAGAGTACATACAAACAACAAAATGATAATTCATACTATAGATCATAAATTAACATATGATTTGACATCTAATTTTAAATGGTTTTATCTGTCCACAAAATGCTACAGTAAGTGATTTCAGTAAGTACATATTATATAATAGAATCTTATTAATTTTTATCATGTAAAATAAAATGTCAGGACCTTAAAGCATATAAAAGGGAAAATGAATATTTAACTACATATCTACAGATATGCACACCGAACTGAAAGGGCTGCTTTAATCAAAACCAAAAATGGAAATATATATATATATATATATATATATACTCAAAATATTTCAGGAGCAATATTCTGATCGAATAAAATTTGAAAAAGTTAAGTTTCTACTTTTGGAAAAGCTCATATGCTAAAATAACATGCTATAAGCAGAAGTAAAACAATTCTAATAAGAAATTAGGAGGAGAATAGGTAGTTCAATCAACAGTTCATTAAGTGACTGTACAAAGTTACAACAGCACTGAAAAATAACCGTTATGACTGTTTATCAGAGTTATGACCTTTGCAGCATTCCCATGATCACGTGATCAAAATTCAGTGGCTTGGCAACTGGTTCATAGTTATGACTGTTGCTGTGTCCCAAGGTCATGTGACCCCCTTTTACAACCTTCGGACAAGCAAAGTCAATGGGCAAGACAGGTTCGATTAACAACAGGGTTACTAACTTATCAATTGCAGTGATTCACTTAACAACTGAGGCAAGAAAGTTCGTAAAATGGGTCAAAACTCACTTAGCAAATGTATCACTTAACAACAGAAATTTTGGGCTCAATTGTGGTCGTAAGTCGAGGACTACCTGTGTTACAGATATCAATATATCAAAAGATTCTACAATAGTTCTAAAACAATTAATTTGTGAATATCTTTTTTAAAAAATGCAATTGCCAGAAATCAGCATGGTTTGTTCAGGAATCTTATCAGACTAATCGTCTCATTCTTGTTTGGGTAACCTCTGAGGAGATTGTGAAAAATTCTGTAAGCCTCTTATAATTCCAGTAAGTATGTACTGGGGTATGAATGAAGTGGATTCACAAATTGTACTGTTAAAAAATCCCTGATAAACCATGAGGTCTCAAGTGAGATGCCCTAAGGCCCTGTCCTCTTCAATATTTTTATTAATTACTTGGATGAAGAGGTGGTGAAAATGATCATCAAATCTGCAGCTGATGCAAAACTGAATGAAATAGATGATATCCTATAAAAGTCAGAAATAAAATTCAAAATGATGTTGATAAACAAGAGAAGTGAACTCAAAATAATGAAATCAAATTAAAGAGCTAAAAAGCAAACTTTTCCACTTAGGGAAAAAATAATCAAATGCAAAGGAAGATGACTAACTTACTTATACTTCTTATGAAAAAGGAAGATCTTGATTGCCACTGACAATGTCAGAATGGTGAAAAATATAACTTCAAGATCTGGAATACATCATTGTAGATGCAGGAAACAAAATAATGGATGCAAGATACAAGAAGGCAGATTGTGATTGAAAGTCAGGAAAACTTCCTAATAATAAGAGTACTTTGACAATGGAATCAATTACACAGAGAAGTGATAGGCTCTTCTCTGCTGGATACACTTAATGGAGGCTAGACAGCCATCTGTTGGGAGTTATTTAATTTGGATTCCTGTACTGAGCAAGAAGTTATTCTCAATGGTCTCTTCCCATTTTAGGTTTCTAAGTTTTCTGTCATAATGAAAAATAGTAAGTTGTAGCAAGCTCTTTGTTCCTCCCTTTCGCTTCCTTAAAATGCAAACATAGCCAAGAAAATGGTTTTTAAAAGTTTAATTTAGAAAAATACATAATAATGGAAGGAAGAGTAAAACACAGTTTTTATGCTAGTGCCTATATAAACCACCGACTTTTTGCATTTACAGTTGGCCTGAAGCTCAAGTTATAAACAAAACAACACCGTTTTGCAAAGCTCGACAGCTTAACAATGTTATCTGGAATGCACATGCGGTATATATTTTTACATTTTGCAAAGTGCTTAATAAAAAAAGGGTGGCACAGACCTAGGCATAGACAATGACATGCACAGGAGTGGCAGAATTAAATTAGAACTCAAACATTTTAAAACCTCATTGAAAACAGCAAAGGAAACTTATCTTCCAGGCAAACAATATTTCTTTATGTACAAGTGAATCTCAAATGAATCTCACTGAATACATGCTTAAAAGGCACTCTCTCTTACAACTCACCTCCTCTTGCTATTTGGCTTCAGCCAATGTCAGTTGGCATGGAATTTGTCCCTGCTGTTTTATTGGCAAATTTACTTTCCAAATCTCCAAAATGTGAAGAAATTAAAATAACAAGCTAATTTGGAACAAAATGCCCTCTGAAAGACATAAATGCTTCATTCAAGAACACTCAAAATGATGCATTTTGTATATCTGCAAAATTTAAATGGAGTAGCTTACTCAGGCATTCTTTGTCTGAATAAAATAAATACTTAAGGGAAGAATAGCAAAGTCTGATGGAAATAAATTTATGTTTTCTATCTGCACCAAATGTAGGATGAATGCTGGTTTGAAGCAAAGCCAATTACCATTCACCTATCCCAAAAAAAA